TATAAGAAGTATACTAACTAGAAGAGATAGTCTATCTACTACTTTTTAGTTAATAATACTATATAGTTAGATATAAGAAATATTAAGACTATCTACTCTTAGAANAAGCTTAACTAGAAGCTTCTTAGACTCTATTAGATCGCTAAGGTTATTAGCCTATACGCCTACTAACTAGATCTATCTATATTTATAAAGATCTACTCTGTCTTCTACGTAAATCTATTAAGACCTACTACCTTAAACTCTTTATCTAGATAATAATAAGACCCTCTATCTTCTATTAAGGTTAATAGAATAGAAGAATAGAAGGTAAAGAATATACTAGACTCTTAACTTAACTACTATAGCTAGAGAAGCCGCCTACGCCTAAAATACTTAGTAAAGTAAACTAGCTATAACGAACTAAATAAAGTCTCTACTAGTTACTTAGAGAATATATAGAAGATTATTAATAACTTCTATTACTATTACTCTACCAAGTCTAGGTAATCGCGTTAATAGAGCTTCGTCTAGAGAGAGAAGTACTATTATAGCGCTATCTAATATAGTAGAGAACTAGTAGCTTCTAGGCGCCTAGCGAGGCTAGAATCTCTTAGGTGGCCGTTAGGGCTATAGCGTTAGCGAGGCAGCTAGCGCGCATTCTTTTAATTAGCTGCTAGTAGATTCTAGGTGCGGGCCTAAGTACCTAGATTCTATAAAACTACAGCACTATAGTCTAGAGAGCTCTTTAAGCTACGTCCTGTCTTCTACTCTATACTACCTATAGTAAGAGCCTATTAATTAACTATAGTAATAGAACCTATATACGTACCTACCTTCTCTATCTATAAACCTATACTATAATAATATAATATGTATAAATTAGAGATATAGACTATACTTATTTAAAACTATATATAAATCTAGTAAGAGTCTTCTATAATATCTCTTAAGAAGTAGATATAGTAGTTAAGTAAGAGAGTTTAGTAGATCGCTTATTATTTAGTATTAATATAGAAGAAAATAAGTTACTTATAAGATACTATTAAAGTATCTATAGAGTAAAAAACTTATAAGTAGTACTATATATAAGTAGAGAGGTCTTAGATAGTTAGCTAGATAGTTAATTAGATTACTAAGGTAGAGAGTAATAGATATAATAATAGTATAACGTCTATAAAGAGAGTGCGTAGTAAATAGCACTATAGGCGTTATAGCTAAATTAAATATAACTTTCGCACTTACTAAGTAGAATTAGAGGATATAGAGGATAGTAACGCGTCTAAAGAATAATATCTTATTCTACGTAATAACAAAAATTATAGTAGTGTTACGCAATACTATTATAAAGGTATAGTAGTCTTAAGAGGTGACCAAATCACTGGGGTGGCCGAATCACTAGTGAAACACGTTAAGCTATATTTAATATTTACTAGAGAGCTTTATTTACTATTATTATTATGATATTAGAGTAGAGTAGTAGTTTTAGTAGAGTTTTAGTAAAAGTATTATATAAACTCTTGTGTTCTGTAAACCTATAAGATACGTTATAATATAGCTTATATTTATAACTTAACCTTAGCTAGAATAGAAAAAAGTAAAAGTAAAGAGGTTAGAGCTAAGTAACCTAGCTTTATAAACTTTAAAATAAACTAACTATAATTAAATAATACAGGTAAAGTATAATATACTTAGTTCTATAATAGAAGCAAAGCTTAAGTTTTACTTAAGCTTATTAAATAATATAATTTTCTATTCTTGATAAGTAACTCTATTTAAGCTTTACTACTTCTCTATAATTAAACATTAAAGTTCTAAAAAATTAATAATATAAATTCTATTAAGAGTGTATCTCTATAGTATATTAGATTAGCTTAATAATTATTAGTAGAATAAAATAAGATACTATATAAACGATAGAAAAGAAACGTATTAAATAATAGTATCTATGCTTAGTGCTAAGCTCTAAGGATAAGTGAAAGTGGAGCTACCCCTGTGGTCACGTGAACAATACAAGGTACGCCTGAACACGGCGCGCAGCGTTGGACATCTACAATCTAACTAGAATCCAAGAAAAGTGGCGTTTTGCTATCGCTACTTACCTATCTTAGTTTCTGGGTAAACATGTTATCTCGCAACACGTGCCCGTTCTGGCATTACAGGGCGTAGTATCATCAATGTTTATGGAGCATCTAAGCTATCATCTGTGGAGCTGCTTGCCTTATAGTCGGGCGAGCGCTAGGAAGAGAATAGTGTATCCGTAAATATATGTTCAATACACTCTAATCTCTATGTAGTATGCTAGACTATTCTCTCTTGGGCTATCGTTCATGCACTCGTCCGCACATATAACGGGTCTGTTCTACCTTTGAGTAAATCAACAGTTTAACAAGAACTTCACCATCGTCTCCAAATCCGACAGAATTCGATCTTGTAGCCTTTGCCAAGATGCAACACTGTGCCATTTTTCTCAGCTTCATTGCTTCTGCAATGACGGTGGCAGTCCCTCCCTACAACCGCCTTTACCTATTGGAGAGATCGGTTGGCAGGGCTCTGTCACTCCCGGTGGACCTACGATAGAAGTTTGGGGTCAGAGTTTTGAGGTACGTGACCCCTTGCACCCTCGTTGGCTGAACTACTTAGGAACGCAACCCTGACATTCATGGTACAGGATATCGAAGCCAAAATCAAGAAGGACAATCCTGAGTTTTCCATTTACCTACCTGAAGAACCGGCTGGACCAGAGTCCTCAGTTGACCCTGCATTGACTGCAAAGAGAACGCTCGAAACTCGTCAGGTATGTCATATACCCACTGACGCCGCAGTGTTGCTCTGAATCAAACATGGGATACTAAAAACATCCGGAGGACGTTAATTGCGATCCGAGATACGGATTTAGCTATATCGGCGATGTGATAACGGCTAGAGATAATCTGAGGCGTATCGCGGGTAATAGCTGCAAAGCTAGAGCTCGAACATGTATTCGTACACAATGTATCAAAGATGCAGCCATCGGTATTTGCAACGACAATTATCATGACATTGATATTCAATGTACTCAAATCTCCGACTGGACTCTTGTCATCGTACAGAGTTGCCAAGAGTCGGTTTGGCATTGCCCTTGGACGCCGGGAGATCAATGCGTCATCCTTAGTACCACTGTCAGAGGACAGGTCTTCTCTCCTGGCAAGACCTGGAATGTCATTGTTGGAAGCTGTGGTATGATAACCATTCTTGAAAGCCCCTCTCGAGGTAGAACTGTTAGACTGACGAGAAATAGGTTTCTTTGGCAATCCAGAAAGACCAGTCAAGATGTAGCTTGATAATGCGGCGAGGTAGATCTAGTTACGCGTATCTAGATACAATGCATAGATTCAAGCTATATCCTCTTAGTGTAAGCACTAATCTAAGTATATATAGTTTTCGAGAACCTACAGTTTACGTATATCTACTTCCTCACTAGAAGCGCCTACTATAGCACACTAAGTCATGCCTGGTCAAAGTCTAAGAGACTGGAGGCGGTTGGAAGTTAAGGACGCTCTTTGTAGTGCATGGCTGTACAGGTATACTGCAGGCCGCGCGACGCCTGGCTACAGTTCCTATAACAGGTTGGCATATAACCGCATTGCACGCATCTCTCCCCTCATCGCACCATCTGAGCGTTCCGCGCTCCTATCTTTGGGCCTGGGTGTCTGAAGTATAAAGCTCAGTTTTGACCGTGTTAGCCTATTATTCTTGAAGTAGAAGCCCAAATTCTAGCGTGATTATCGGTCAAGAATGCATAGCTTGATTAAGATGGGCGGCTGCAAATCGGATGCAGTCTTCGGTTAATTGTTGGTATGCCTACTTCTCATCGGCCCAAAAGGTCTCGCCACATCGGTCTTAGGTGCGCAGGAAGTTGCAGAACGACAGACGATGGAGGCAAAGCGCTTGGCTGTAATATTGTTGAATAGGCCGATCTTCTGGAGATTGGTAAGGTAAAACCTTGCGTATTTCAAAGTAATCGCAGTGTTAGCGGGGCGTTTGATAGTAGGCTTGCCGTTGCAAGAAGACACTAGACGGGTTAGGCAATGATCAGTCTGTTTCTTAGGTTAGTGGACGAACTTGGACTCATGCAACCGACGATACCCACAAATTAATATAACCGGTAGGCGGTTCAGCGATGCTTTTGGGTATGGTTGCTCTGTTGGGAGGGGCGTCTATTTCTGGTGTCATCGGTTATATGGAAGAATAATTGTAGAGTGCAATGTTGAATTACACTATATCAACTGATTGAACACGCACATCAAACTTGCAAGTAAGCTCCAGGGAATTTATATCGTTACTTGAACCCATCATTAGACCAAAGATCCTCATCGTAGGCTGCGGCGCCGTCGGACTGTCACAAAGATACTACCTTTCCGCAAGTGCAGAAATAACCTACCTCGTCCGCCCAGGTCGTTCGGAAGCTTTCGTAGCACCTAAACGCCTTTACGATTACAAGAGCGACAAATTACATGTTCTTGAGGATAACCGTGTTATCGAAACTACTTCGGAAGTCGCAGGAGAGGGATTCTACTGCGTGTTTGACACGCTAGACGGCCACACTGCGCAGTCTGAAGGCGGAACTGCAACGATAAAGAGCGTAGGGGATCTGACTCGCGATAACCCGAGAACCTTCGTGTTTTACGATGCCGCTGGCGTCGACATCGAGCAGCACTACGCCAGCACCATGAGCATATCGAGATCGCGACTCATCTATGGTATGGGTATGACTGCACACTAGCCTACGCCCATTATCTCGATTCTGCTATCTGCAACTCCAGAGCTGGTTGTACAAGCGAACGTGCTGTATTCCGCCTATCATCCGAATATACGACTAGTAATTATCAACACGAAGGTTCAAATCACCGAGCTGTTGGAGGCGGTATACCATCAGAACGGCAGGGTGAAGATCCAAAGGTTGCCTGGTATTTTAAGCGAGCTTCCCAGTCTCATCTTGGTGCAATTCATGGTGTGGAATACCGAGGACTGGGTCCTGTATCCACGCTCTCGGGAGGCTCACGAATCATGGGCGCTCATAATTCGGGCGCAGCAAGAGGTCCTGTCGTTGCCGCGGTGGGATTGGCTGGGTACTATCCTGGTTAATGAGGTCAACATGGGTGACGGCGAAAATGATAGAGGCGCCATTCAAGGGCGGAACACCCCTACCTTACCATGAATTCAATGCCTTTCATCGTGGGAGCAAAGTTGTCGAGCAGGATATTGAACTTTTAGAGGGGCTTGTTGCGGAAGGAGAGAGGGCGAAAATGAGGATGCCTGCGTTGAACGAGATTTGTCGGCGGGCACGGAAGAAGCTGGAAAGTTAATGGGTCTCGGCCACATGTCCAAGCCAAGCGTCGACAGCACGCACCTATGAATCTTATCTATGAGCTACGCGAGCAAGCAATGTCAAGATTGGGCTCCTCGAGTGTTTACTCTAGAAGCTCATTTCTCCAGCAGAATAACAGCGCTTCACTATCTATGTTGTGCCTTGATGGCTGGATCGGCGTATGTTGGAAATAAGAAACCGAGTACATGATGAATGTACATGCAGGATATTTGAGATATGGTCCGTGGGATACAGTTGTCATATCTGGATTTTACGAAGTTGCAAAAGGCTCTCTTCTCGTGATGTGCTTTTCTTCTCAGCCGCTCTAGGATTATGGATACTCCTTGTCCTGCTTCGCTGCTTATAACGTGACATCTCAAATTAACCAAACATGCATTAGACAGGCTGCTTTGTTTCTATACATCTCCACTAATGCAGCCAGCATGGTTCTTCTTGTTCAGTGTAGGTACACTGTCCCTTTGACTTGTACCGTTCTTTCTCCTGCTTCGCTTGTCCAGCGGCGAATGGCATACAGTCCGGCTTGTGGGTCTGTGTAGTGCGATTTCAGAGGGCGTAAAGACAGAGGGCGCTGCACAACGTAGTCGAGGTGGTTGGCTTTGCGTGGCAGTAGGTATGAGGTCTTCTTCCGATTGCATGTGTTGTGAAGGGTACTGCATGATCAGTGTTGATGTCGAGAAATGAGTGTCTTTGGGCGAGAGAGCGATGTTGCAGGTCCATTTTCGAATTTTTCCCCCAAGGCCCATTTTCACTGGTTCTGTCCACACGGGAAAGTGGACGGATCGTTCCAGGTTGAAGGTGTACTGGCGGGAGGGTGGATGCGGAGAAAGCGAGTGGAGGTGTTGCGAGGGCCGGGGAGAGCCGACACAAGTACAAGAAAGCGACGAAGCATGGGATGGGCCCATACGCTGACGGAGACAAGAGAAGAAGGAACTGACTATCTACCTACAAAGAAGGAAGTTCCCTAGATACGTCTCTTCGGGGTAATCATGGGTTTGTATAGATTTTCCCTTCTTCACGGGGACGACAAACATGCCTCTAAATCACTTCCACATTTCTGAATCACACACTAAGCCCCTTGCATAGCGGCACATGGGCTTATTGATTGAAAGATGCAAGGCTGCGCCGCAATCCACAATCTAGGTTTCCGGGAAGCTTGGCGTTGGAAAAAGAACAAAACAGATAGTAAATGGCTGAATTTGACATGGGACGATACCCACAGTAGTACCTACGTACCCCTGGTATGTTGGGTCCTGCACATTCATAGTGGTGTAAGTGTAAACATAGACGAGTAAAAAACGCGAAACGCGAACAGATGTCACGGAATCAGATTATACTTACTACCACTATACCAATCAAACCCACCCGTTCGCAGCTGGATGGTCAAAGCAAAATTGAGCGCACGTGCCGGAACTAAGTAAGTAGTGGTAAGTAGTAGTAACACAATGCCTGTCGTATTTATGCATTCACTTGCACAAGCTTTCCCCTCGTGTGGGATCGTCTTTTGGGCTCAAAACGCGCTACATTAGTGACGCTGCAGATACAAGCCGCCGCGATACGAGTGGCACAGCGGTGGTTTGCTTTTCTGGCATAGTAAGTGGCAGTACTAAGGAAGCGGAGTCTTTGCTTTTCGATACCCGAGTGCGGGTGTTTCTGAGGGGCGTCCGAAAACAAAGAGGGCGAGATTACGTTGTATTCTAGAAGTGGAGAGAACCGCGTGCGACTATTGAATGTCCACTTTGTGATTCGTGTGCTGTTCGGAGAAGGATTGGGTAGACGACGTCTTTCGACGAGATCAATTGTGATGTTGCGCTTAACTATACATTCAAGCGTACGAAAGAGGCAACGTGATGCGAGATATTATTGGGTAGGGCTCAAGGCGCGACTGTTGAATTCTAGACTTGATCGCCATTTCCGTCCGATAAGGGTGATAGACCTAGTACATGTACTTACAATACATGAGTATTCTAGGTCAAGACTGTATGCGTGTGTATGAATAGTAACATCCAACACGTCTGAACACATCGAGTGACATGTTCACTCGCCCTCTTGCACTTCAGCTAGTGTGTGCAAAACTTCAATCGCAGATGAATACGCTACCGTACATAGATTCTCCCCACGGAAACCCAGCGTACTCCTTCAGCTGATCAACCGCATCGTCACCTCGACCGTTGCAAATGTCCCTGCGGAAACCGGCATAGCACGGAGCAGAGTTGGTCCAATGCCCCTCCAGAAGCCGCCCAGGCCCTCGCCCCTGTACGTCTTCACAAAACAGTCTCTCATGCTCTTGTACTTTTGTTCCGCTCCAAACCCATCACTCTGCATCTTGCTCTTGATAACGTCAAATGGATAACTGCTGATCCAGAGTACTTCACCCGCTAGTCCGCCGTACGCCGCCACCTTTAGTGTTGAAATCTCCGACCGGTCAATGTTGTTGCGTGCAGCGTCAGAATTCATAAGATATTCGAATGCAGTAAACCAGCACCCATACGCCTGAGCTTCACGCATAAAGGTCACAGCAGTACCGCGGTAGACGCCGCCAAGCACGCCCTGATGTGCCGAGAGCTTGCGTACGCAGTCGATGGGCCCGGTATAGAGCCGATTCGCGCCGTGCGGCTGGGTTTGCAGTCTTATACGAATGTGCTCGATCGGACTCGAGAGAGCCGTGTTGGCGATACCTGCAAAAGCGCCAGCGGCGTAGTACTGCGAGTAAGACAGTTGGGCGGTGCCCGACTTGGCTGTATTGCTGGCCTCGAAAGCGCGGCGCGCATAGTGGAAGCCTCCGAATTGGATAGACACACAGGCTCCGATACCAATCAGGGGCGTTAATGTTCCTTTGTAGAAGGCAAGTGCTCCTTCATTTTGATATATCTTGGTCGCTGCATCCAAGGCGCCTGAGTATTGAGATGTCGTCTGCAGACGGACTTTCACAATGTCGAATGGTTGCCCAATGAGGACTTGAGCAACTCCGCCTACAGCACCAGCAAAAAGGTCCTTGAGTGTGCGGGAAAAGCCATCCTGGGCGGGGTCCTCGTGCTCAATATGAGGTTTTGACATTTTCCTTTCTGCTCTTTCTTGACTTTGCCCTGCAGTCTTACAGTCGCGACTCTTATTGTTGTGCGCACGAGCCCTGTGGAGGGGCAGCTGTGAACCGACCAGCCTGCAGGCGTCTCTTTCTTGCTCTTCACCTGGATACGAGATCAGAACGCCTCCCGTGGTCGTGTAGTTTGTTAGATGATTTTGGGAACAGTGATGGTGTTCGAAGGTCTTGAGGAGACCCAAACCCCAATTGCGTGCTTGTGCACGGACGCACGAATAATGTCCTTCGATAGCCGATGGTTAGCTGCATCTGATGCCTCGAACCGGTCATCTTTCGCATGGCATTAAGCTACCATGCTGATCTCGCTTCACAAGTGAGCATGGGCAGTCATCAGATCAGAACAAAAGAATCAGATTGCCAACTGGTATCAGTATATCCCATGGACCCCTATCACCCCGCTAACCAACAGATCCATGCAATGCGTATGTCAATGCGACTCCGGTCCAACGATAAGAGAAACCAATGGCAGCAGACATGACGAAACGCAGGAAAAACAGGGACGCGCACATCAACCAAAAGCTTGTCAATGCTGCAAAAAGATGATGGTCCTTCAAGGGGTGACTACCACCAACGCAGCTATAATACAAAAGACGGAAAGAGACAAAGGGAAAACCAGACAAATGGCCGTTGAGCGAACGTCGTGAATGTAGTTCCAGGTGAAACATACGCACGAAGACTTGCGTACCGTGTTTCCCTGGCAGGATAGTCCATAATCTTACACCATCACTTACCCCTCTAAAGCAGGGTGGTCTCGCTAAGGGAAACGCAAACACGCAGTATATGTGGTAGGTGAAATTGGAGAAAGCAGCTACCAGCATTTCAGTTTGCTCCAGAAGCTTTGTCTTGGCTCGTCGGAATCGTGCTTTTCGCTGTAGGTATGTGCTCCGGAAAGATTTGCATTTGACATGGGTAGGGCGGCAGTACGGTTTGCGGCGTTCTCGTTTGCAGTAAGTCTGCGAGCTTCTACAACACGGCGGACAAGGACTGTTGAAGGGGTACATGTTAGCGAATTGGTCTCTGGTTGATTCTCTCTCTCCCTCTCTCCCTCGTCCTAGGACAAATGAAGCGGGAAAAAACTTACGAGCAAATGTCTCCTCAATGTTGACCATCTCTCTTGCACTCGTCTCCATGAAGCCGCATTTTCGATTTCGCGCCCACTCCAACCCCTTCTTTGCTTCAATCACCCGTTGACCCTGCAAATCGCACTTGTTACCCACCACACACTTGATAGGTGGTATCTTGCCATTGTCTAACCGGTTGTCTGTCTCCATATCAATCATCTCCATGAAGTAATCCAGGGCATCGAGCGAGTTCGCAGCGGTGATGTCGTAGACGAGGAGAAAGGCATCGGATTGCAAGTTGGATGCCGCCCAGAGACCGCGGTATTCTTCTTGACCAGCCGTGTCGGTGAGCATCAGGTAGTAGGGGACGCCATCTATGGTACGTGTCACCGAGTATGAGTCTTCTGTAGCGGATGTCAGACCAGTGTTGCTGTGAGATGGCTGCACGGATGCCCGTCGCAGACGCGAGTGATATGTGTTGTACCTATTGTAGGGTCGTATCTAAAGACTGCATGTCAGCTGAATGTTGTCTTGCTCGACTGAAAGCGCGCATGTAGCGTCGCATTGTTTGCGCAAACTTACTCGGACGTCCATTCACTTCTCACAAGCCGTAATGTGATTGAGCTCTTTCCTGCGCGCACATCAGCCCTGCATCCCTTGATGTCTCCTTGATTGTTGCGCCTACCGCATCCTCCGTCGCCGCACACGGTAATCGTTATCCTGTTGTTCTCGTCCATGGTGTCCACCTCTTGCGCAGTTTCGATGCCAGTACTCTGCGCTTTTCTTTGGCGGGTTGCAGAATGTGTGATGGTTGTCGCAATCGCGTTTCGCCTCTGTCAGCCCCGAGTTCTGGCTTGCTTGCGCGTCGCCCCAAAAGACGCCCTTGCTTCTTCCTCCCTGTCACAGCGCAAACCAAAAAGCAACCCCAATAGACTACCGTCCAATAATCGAGTCCAGGTATATCGCAGATGATTCGCGGAATGGGCACGTGCAGGTCAGGAAACACGGAAGAAGGAAAGAAAAAAAAAGGTACGAGTGTTTCTTCGAAGGTCAAGTCTTGTTATCGCAGTAGTAAGCAAACCAAGCGTGTTCAAACGACAGAGTGCTCAGGGAATCCCCAAAAATAAAAAAGAAAAAATGGCAGGTCACCGTCGCACCAGCAGGATGGAGCTAGTATAGTATGGTAAAGGGTAGGACAAGAGTAAGAGCGAGAGTGAGACACGGATAGAAAGGAGCTCAAGGTGGCGGACAGTGCGCAAACTTTGTGTCCTCCAAGTACAAGTCGAGAAAAAAAAAGTTGGAATAAAAAGAGGGAAAGCAAGAGAGCGAGAAGAGAGCGTCTAATAATACCTAGTCCATAAGCATCACTCCGGTCGGGCATTAACCGCAACGAAATGAGCTGGGTACGAAGATCCCCTCTTTCCAACCGCGCACACACACCCCCATCGTATCTCTCTCTTCCATGCCCATGTCAGAATGAGAAGAAAAACACGAGACTTGGCCGAAAACCGTCGCAAGACCCTGGTCGCGTCCTGGGTGGTTCCAAGAACCAAGAACCAACATGTAAAGTTGGCATCAAGTGAGGCAATGTCTTTACTTTCTCTTGACCATTCCAAGCGGAAAAGCGACTGTTTACTCACTGTTAGCACGCCCTATTTCTTGTTTTTCGGTCTCGGTCCCTCTGGGTGTCGCTTTCTTACACCTACACCTACTTATACACACGCTTTCTCACGCGCATCCTACCCTCAGCACCGTCCCCCTCCCTCCCTAACCCCCCCCCCCAAAAGCAAATTGCTCGGGCCGCATGGGGACATGCAGCGGGCCTGGAGGGATCCAGGGGAGGTGACATGCCGGAGTATGATCCTGGCTAGTTTGATTGGGTGGCTTGACGAGCCGCCGGGGGACGGGGAAAACAACTAGTGCACGTTGCTGTTAAGTGGCGTTGCCGTGTCCAAGTCCCCTTCCCTCCCCCCCAAGTCCTCTGCTCATGGCAAGCTGAAAGTTTATTCTGCACATCATTGCACCCAATCTGGTAGACCACGTACATGCACAATGGGCCATGATCGCTAGGTGCTAGAGAGACATTCCCAAACTTAGGCTACCT